AGTACCGAGCTTCTAGCCTAAGCAGTCCTCAACACTGGAATCTACAGCTTACGACTTGTGTGTGTGCGCCGCAACATCTACTTGTGCTTCTACCCGTACTTCCTACCCGTATTCCTTACCCGTACTTCCACCAACTATTACTACTCATCACTATAGGCATCCCAAATCAGATGGAATCGCGGTACTTTTTGGCGTCTGTGATATAACATGTATGCTACGAGTCTCCATTACCTGCCTGTACATGATATACATATATATATATATATACAGGTATACAGGTATACAGCAGTACCGCCAACATTACTCGTCGTACGCAGCTTTGTCATCCACGGTGAGCACAGGCCATTCAAGGGATTGGGAAGAAATAAACAGATGAGGAGTGCCATCATTTCAACCATGTGTTATGATTCTCTCCTTCTATGCCAGATGCCATGACTACAGGAGGAAGTTATGCAGGAAAAGAGATGACGAGAGCAAGACGAGAAGAATACGAAGAGAACCGATATCAACGCCATGCAACGACTGGATAGCAAGCACTTCCCGCCTTCTTGCAAAAGGTCCTCGAGAAACCCCTTGGGACCACATTACCATCCTCCCCCCCTCCCCTTGCTTGGCAGTCGCATTAAACCGCAGTCCCTGTCCGATACGCCGTGAGGTAGAAACCCCTCCCGAAATGACTTTCTCAACCCGACCCCCCCATAGCCGGGGTATTTATATACGTGTTTTTTTTTTTTTCTCCATCCTTGCCTGTTTTTCCGCTTCCTTCTTTCCATCTCCTCCGCCTGTCCAGGCCTAATACTTGGTCGAATATCTCACAGCATTGGGTGAGTAGGGCAGATCGTACGAGCTGGACCGACCGTAGGGGTCGTCGCCTCCGTAGACTGTGGCCCTGCGTTCCTCCTCCGGCAGGAGCTCCTTGACCTCCCAGTTGTTCATCCTGGTTCCGACGGAGAATTCGAGGTCTTCGGTGGTGATGGAGTCCCAGTACTGCGTATTGTCAGCTTCACATCTCAACCACCGATGTAAGAGAGAGAGAGGGGGGGAGGGAGAGAGGGGGAGAGAGGGAGAGAGAGAGGGGGAGAGAGAGAAGCATACCTTGTAAACCATCATGACGGCGAGAAGGTTGCAGGCGGTAGCGACGAGCAGACCGTCAAAGTAGTGGCTGACAGCCTCGCAGATGGTAGCGCTGAAGCCGTAGAGGACGACCTGGCCGATGACGAGGAAGAGGGTGCCGAAGGCGATGTCGCCGAGGGGCCACCGGTCGTGCAGGGTGCGGATGACGAGGACGATCTGCATGGCGAGGTAGACGAAGAGCTGTATGGCGTTGAGGAGGTAGAGCACGACGAAGAGGCCGGTGGTCCGGGTCGGGCTCATGCCCACGGCCGACTTGAAGGTGCCGAGCGAGACGAGCAGGCTGACGGCGAAGGCGACGGCGGATCCCACCCTCAGCATCCAGAGGGAGACCGGCGTGCCGTCCTCGTAGAGCTGGAAGCCGACGAAGCCGTTGATGAAGAGGGCCGTCACGGCCGCGCTGCTCAGCCCGCTCTGCACGGCCACGAAGTAAGGGTAGGGCCCGCTGCCCGGCGGCACGACCCCGGCGTCCACCACGAGCGAGAAGAAGGTGAGGAGCATGTACAGGTAGAAGAAGGTCAGGATCTCGTGGCGACCCACGGCCGTGAACTTGGACCGGATGTGCAGCACCATGATGATGGTCATGATCAGCGCCACGATGTGCAGGATGCTCGCCGCTCCCTGAAAGATGATCGTGTTGGCCACCTCTATGCTGCGAGCGTAGCAGTCCGCCTGGATGCCCACCTGACCCGTGGACGCGAGCGCGGGCCCTAGCGAGGCGCACATCGGCAGTGGCGCATTCTCGCAAATGTCCGTGAACTGGCCAAACCCTGACATGTTTTCTTTCTCGTCTCAATCTTGTTTTTTTTTGTTTTTTTGCGCGTTTGCGCGTTTGCGCCGTGGCCTTGTGTGTGTGTGTGTGTGTGTGATTCTTCTGTCGCAAACTCTGGGTGGGAATTTTATCGTCGTTTTTTTTTCGCCTTCGAGCGCGTGTTGAACAGTCAATGTGCACCACAATTATCGTTCGTCGTGAGAGGAGGGACGGGGAGGGTAGTAGATTCGGATGCCAATTCCCAACACTCTCCTGACAAACGAGACGGTATGACAGTGAGAGATGATGAGCGAGCGACGGTCGAGTACGGAAGAGAAAAGAAAAGAAGATAGAAAGAAGAAGAAAATTAATTAATAAAAAAGAACCCCTCCAAAAAAAAATTATCGTCGCCGAAGGAGAAGAGCTCGACTGAGTTGGAATGAATAGACGTTGAATGGGGTCAGCCGTTGGAGGAGCCAAGAGACAGAACCGAAAAGAAAGGAACAAATGACCAGAGGGAAGAATTGAGGGCGATGGCGTCGGAGTTGAGTACCCGCTTGTGATGGGTAGACGGGACAGCATGATTGGTCTGTTGGCAAGGGGAGGGGGGGGGGGGGG